CACCCCAATCTCTAATCAGATAGACACTCGCAAATTAGATAATTTCTTTGCTGCACGTTTTCAGATGCGATAACTATATTATAGCTGTACACAGGTGTAGTTGTAGCACGAATGGGTTGGCTAAACCGGCGAAGGACCATGCTCTCACAGAATACCAGCGTAAAAGATGAGAACAGTCTGTCTATGGACCACAGCATCCAATTGCCATCATGTGAACTTTGTGCTCGTTTGTCACCCTTATTCAATAAAAATAAAACGTTAATACGTAAGAAGATAACAAAAGTGATAAAATTATAAAAACTGTATATAACTGACTTTATTATAAATTATTAAGAATAACTCAAAAATTGCTGGTCAGATCTTGATCAAAATTCAAATAAAAATGATCAAAATCGATTCACCTAGAAAAAAGTTATGAGGTAACAACACACATAAAGAAAATGCAGTCGAATTGAGTACCTCCTCATTTTTGAAGTCGATTAAAAAGATGTTACGTTCCTTTTCTTTAACGATAACGTGAACATATTTGAGAAGCAAAAAATAATCTTGCGGTTAGCAATGCCTATTAATAGATCTTATGTTACCTACACTAGCACATATTAGTAATCTGCGATGTTTACTTGAATGAAGTATGTACTTTGATACCCTTTAGGGACATTATTAGGTAGGCCACAATTATTATCGAAACTAGATATTCCCACCCTACCATCAATTATGTTTAAAAATAATGTCATGACATTCTCTCCCCATGTAAAGAACCTTGGTCTGTACGTAGATGGTTGCTTAACATGGAACAAACATATTCAGGAGGTGAGCCGCAAAACTACTGGAACTTTGCGATCTCTATATCGATTAAAAAAATTTCTTCCCACCAATACTAAGATTTTACTTGTCCAGTCACTTATCCTACCGATTATTGATTATGTCGATGTGTGTTGCTCAGACCTGTGTCAACATCATTTTAATACATTGGATCGTCTACTTAACAACTGTACATTTATGGTCTCCGTAAATGCGACCATGTATCTTCTTTTCGTGCTCAGCTAAATTGGCTGCCTATCCGTCAACGCAGATATGTCAGAATACTCTGCACCCTTTTCACAATTCTGAACGATCCATGTGCTCCCGAGTATCTGAAATCTAAATTTTAATACCTGGGAGATTCTCATAATCGTTCTCTTCGTTCTTCGGCTAATCTTAAGTTGCTTACTCCTTTACACCGTACTGGTTATTTATCTCAATCTTTCGCCCTCACGGCCATCAGACTCTGAAACGACATCCCTCTTGACATTAAAAATGCTTCTAACAAGTTTTTTTTTTAAAATCAAGTCCGTAAGCATGTGAAAAAACTGTTGCAAATTTGAACTAACACAGCTCTTGTTTTCATACACATATTATGTATATTTCATATTTGTTCTGACATAAATAATATTTATATGTATTGTCTATACATGTAGTGTATGCATGTATGTGTGTATATATGTATTTATATATGTATATATTGTGTGTATTTAGGTATATATGTCTATGTATGTGTGTGTACATGTATATTTAAATGTATATACAATTTCTTTTAGCGCTTTCTATTTTGATTACTACTGCAGCGCCTCTTGTTTATATAGGTATCTCTGTTTAGCCTAATGGTTGACTGGGACAGAATGCCCTATGGCATTAAGTCCGCCATATGTACAACTTTGTGCATGAAAGTTTAAATAAATAAATAAATAACAATTATTAACTAATTAAGAATGTATTAGGAACATAACCAAAAAATTAAATTATAATATAAAGAGGTGACTATTCTTTGGGTTAGCAATGTTCTTCTTCAATCTTATCTACTCTATCCTTAACTAATCTTATCTAATAGTCTTAATAAAGTCGTTACTATTTATCTTAATTATTTTCTGTTTCTCTTTCTGTAATAGTAGTGTATCTGTGGACAGCAACATGCTCTGTCTTCAATTTACGGCACTGATTTGGACTAGTGTTCATTTTATTAAATAAGTGTGGATATTTGGTATATTTTTTGTTTGGTTTTATTCTGTTCGGAACATCAACAGCTATTATACATTTCACTTATTACAACATTTTGAATCTACATAGCTATTAAAAGGAAAACGCATATAAAAATTTAAAAAATGTCTATATATGTTCATCATAGACCGAAAGTCGATAAACAGTTTGCGATGTGATTGCTGTGTAATTGCCTCTAATAAATAATATGAAGAAATTTTTTCCAATGGTTGGCAGGCGAAATGAAGATCGTCATATCAGACACCTCACACCTTAATTCTATGTCCTTGATTTAAAAAATTGTGTTTTTAATAATATAATATAATAAAAAATCATACAAGTTTTTAAGGTGCAAAAAGCTGAATAGTCTTTTGTTAAAGCCTTCAATGTAGGACTTTAAACGTTACATGCAATATTTTTCGCCCAATCCCAAAACTTTTAAACAAAAATATTTTGGATCGAACTTATTTTGCTTTATTATATCTGTCTTGTAATAGATTGGTTGCGTGCTCATAATTACTCAAAATGACAGGTACGTAGCTACTAATATAATTTCTACCATTATTGATCTTGATAAAAAATACGCTGGCACCAGCAGGGGCAGATTTAGATTTTTTTTTAGAGGGGCACAAAGGCTAGACCGAGCCAGGTATGCCCTCACAAGATAATGAAAGTAAAATAATAATATAACAATAACTGGATAGAAGAAATACCTGATGTTTATCACTGGTTTTATGGCATAAATGTAAGATAATCAATCATCTCAAAATTATAACATACAATTATAGAAACAAATTTTTGCAGATTTAAATTTTTTTATATGATATTTTAATAAATGATATTTGTCTTCCCGACGTTTCGAATGCCCGACTTTTCCTCAACTATTCCAAGTGGTTGACGACAAGATGTCATACTCTTTTTTCAGAGAGATCTGTGATAGTTAACTTACCGTAGCATTAGCGTTTAGTAGCGTTCGGCGTCATTTTAAAAGAATACAAGCAATCCAATTTAATTCCTCCCTGGCACCAATAAAATTGTTTTGCTTATTTAACACATGTTTAGCAGTGAATACAATAGAAAAAAACAACCGGCGGCTCATATATTTAAGGATGGATGTTACAAAATGGATAATTATTTAAAAGATAATAATGCTTGGACGACAGTAGCATCTATTGAACTTTTTTTATTTGACTTGTGGAAAACTCAAATTGCTGTCGTTTACCTCATTTTCTCTCAATTAGTCTCAAATTATTTTAAAATAGTCATGTCCAGCAAAATCACTCATTACAGCTTTGGGTTACATTCATTAAATCTTTGGTCCTCGTCACGTACGAAATAAAGCACTTTTCGGCTATTTTACATTAATCAATAACCTCGTTTCACCTATAATACGAGGTGTATTGTAGGTGAAACGAGGTTATTGACTGGGTATGAATATTAGTATCGATCATTTTATCAATGCATCATTTTATTAATTGAAATATATTTCACGATGCAGCCAGAATGAGTCGGCTCGACTCGGCAAGGATACACTCTCACAGAATACCAGCGTAACATAGCAGCTTAATACTTTATTATCTATCATTTAGTGAGTACAGAAAACCGGAGAACCTTTTTACCTTTGCCGAGCTATTCTATCTTATTTCTCTTGTGTGACCACGCATCTATATTTTGATTCTTAATCGAGGAGCTATGTTTGGCCACAGCATCCACTTACCATCAGGTGGACTGTGTGCTTGTTTGCCACCTTTATTCTATTAAAAATATTATAATAAATCCACATAAACAAAATATATAATGTAAAGAACTAATCGCGAGAAAACCTGCATGCCTGAAAATGATAAATAACAAAAAGTCATAATAATAAGAAAGATCAATGTTTTAAGTGTGTGTTACTTCACTTTTTGCGTTAATATCTTTACACACTTTATTACTTGTAAGTAAGGAAAACCCGAATTTTCTCTAAAAAAATTGTACGTAATGACGTATAGTTATAAAATGAGGCACCATTCCTATTGACGTAATGTACATTTTAATTTACGTTGAGCCTTAGAACAATGAAGAAATAACTACAATAGGCTCTGTGTATTCAGCTTTAACGGTTTGAAGACACAAAATAATTTCTACAATACTAATTGTATGAAGGTCTACAGTATTGTTCTGAATGTTCATTAAATTGCCGTGTGCTTAAAAATGGAAATTAAAGGTGTTATGTTGTTAACTATAACGTTTATCTCGGAAGTAGTTCGTAAGTATTTTATTTGTGCATATTTCCTTTAATTTTTAATTAAAACTAATTTTACGGACTTTATCGCGTATATTAATCTATTTTTTTTATATTCCCGACGATTCGGGTGCTTTCCAGCACTCGTGGTCACGGGGGACTGAGGTGTTTGACGTCCTGCTGTCATAGTTAGCCCGGCTACCTTCAGTTTTTTAATATTAATTTTTGGTCCGATTTACGCAGAATGAGCTTACGGTATCTTGAAGTCTAGCAGTGGTATACTTGGGTTTGGATTTGATTTTATTAATTATGGGATCCCAAGCAGATGGCAGCACCCATCCATCTTCTCTATTGAAATTAGGATGTTTTTTAATTTCAATAGCCTCGCGAATCATCCTTGGGAGGAATCGGTGTTCTTTTGCGAGGATTTGTGGTCTATCAAATCTAATGTAATGGCGGGGACGATCTTGAACATGTTCACAAACTGCAGACTTCCCGATACGTCGGTGCTTCACGTCAGCTATATGTTCTTTAACGCGGGTTTTAATAGATCTTTTTGTTTGTCCTATGTACGAGAGACCACATTCACAATCCAGCTTGTACACTCCTGCATCTTGTAGAGGGATATGACACTTGACGGATGGTAAAAATTGACCAATCTTCTTCAGCGGCTTGAAGTATGTTTTAATGGAAGCTCGCTTCAAGATGTAGCTAACCTTGTCTGTGACTCCTCTGACAAAACGTAATGCGTCGCCGCAGGAAGATGATCCTACTCCATGGAGTTCCTGAAGAAAAATCTGAGGAAACTGCTACCGTCATAAGTACACTTATCAGCACGAAACTACAAGTGTCAGGTTTCAGTAAAACATCCATAAGCCGCTGTCATCGTTTGGGACGCCCTTCCGATAAATCTTCCAGGCCTGTGGTTGTCAAATTCAGTGATATTGTGATGCGAGACAAGGTTTGGTTCTCCAAAACCAAACTTAAGGGCACAGGTATAACTCAGTCGGAGTTTCTTACAAGGAGACGCCACAGTGTTTTTCTTGAAGCTAGGCGTAGGTTTGGCGTAACCAAGTGTTGGACCAGGGATGGAGTTATTAATATTTTAACTCCTGATGGCACAAGGCACCAGCTTGAGACCTCGTCTGAGCTTGATACAATATGCAACGGGTCAATTTCTGCCACACCCGCTTATCCAATGGTGGTTGAGGCAAATAAGGCCCCCGAAGATAAAAGTGCACCACAGCGTTCTAAGAGGGTCGGTAAAAAATGAACTTTCTTATTTAATATTATCATTTTATTAATTTTGTAATCCTTATTGCTATAACTTTACTTGTTTTTTTCTTGCTTGTTTTCTATCATCATTATTTGTCATTGTTAATCGTTAATTAGATAGTAAAATGTAATGATTAATAATATCTCTTTGGAATGTTTATAATTTCTTTTTTTTTCTGTAAGGTATGTTATTATTAGTATAATGTTTCATTGGAATGTTTATTATTATAAGTTTTGCAAGGTATGTAGTTAATTGGTAAGTTAACGTACTAACGTATTGTCACTTTTTGACATTTTGACTCATCTGACATTGACACCTCTCACTTTTTGTGTCTATGGTGCGTTAACGTTCCGTTTCTTCATTTATTGTTAAGTTAATTATAGATTTCTTTCAATACTGCTGGCAGGTAGTTTACTGATGACTTATTTATTTTTGAATTTATTTATTTTATATATACATATACATAATTTATATATATATATACATATATATATACTATATATATACTTATATACATACATTTAGTAATCAGGTATAATTTAATATGATTTCTTCAGATGATAGTGTTCGGAGTTCCAATTCCTTCGCCTTTGATTCTGCTTCTGATGGATTAAGCAGCATTGATAGCTTTGAAAGCATTGCACCCTTAAATATTATGTTAGATTCAATTTTTACTGAATGTAGCAAAAACTTTAATGCTATTCACATAAATGCTCAAAGTATTCCTGCTCATTACCCCGACATGTTGTCAAGTTTTAATAGCAAAAATATACACGCTATCCTTGTCTCGGAGTCATGGTTAAAACCATGTCTTCCATCAACATCCTACTCGCTTCCAGGTTTTCATTTGATTCGTAACGACCGTACCGATCGGGGCGGTGGCGGTGTTGCTATTTATCTACGCTCTCATATACCGTATTCAGTAATTCAGGTTTCAACTGGTTCTCAGACTGGAGGCGAAGCTGAATTTCTCTTTATCGAAGTTCTTCTCGGTCATACCAAATTACTTCTCGGAGTCTTTTACAGCCCCTCTCTCACTGTTGACTACTTCACCACGTTAGAAAATATTCTTGAAAATCTTACACCTATCTATTGTCATAGTATAATTATGGGTGATTTTAATACTTGTCTTTTAAAAACCAACGCCAGATCAATTAAACTAAAATCTGTTATCGAAGCAGCAAATTTAAAACTTCTTCCTACTTCTGCCACACACTTTTTCCCGAACTGTGCCCCTTCTCTTCTCGACATAATGTTTGTGTCTTCACTTGACCTTGTTCATAAATTTGGGCAATATGCTGCTGATTCTTTTTCCTATCATGACCTTTTATACTTGTCTTACAAAATCCGTCCCCCTAAAGCTAAGTCAAGGATCCTACTTCAGCGTAACTTTAGTGACTTGGACTTGAAGCAGCTTTTAAATGACGCTCGAAAAATTGATTGGAGTGTAGTCGTCAATGCTTCCACTGTTGATGAACAGGTAGCTTTGTTCAACTCTTTGTTAATTCAGCTTTATGACGTTCATGCTCCTGTTCGTCCAGTGCGTGTAAAGCATCCTCCCTCTCCTTGGCTGACTGATGATATAAAAAAAATCATCCACATTAAAAATTGTGCCAAAGCGAAATACAAGTCAGTTCCTAGCGACCTGAATCGAGAGAAGTATAGATTAGTACGGAATCGTTGCAACAATCTGTGTAGAAAAGCACAACGACGCCATATCCATGAATCAGTACAAGATCCTGACCCTGCTAGGGTCTGGAAATTTCTTAAGTCTTTAGGAGTTGGGAAATTACGACAACATTTCACTCACCTTAACTTTGATCTCAATCAACTTAATTTGCATTTCTCATCTTCATCTTGCATTAACGATAAAGCAAAACACAATACTTTGGATTCCCTTTCAAAAGCTCCCGCTCCAGACACCTCTGCTTTTAATTTTAGTCAATTTAACAGTTGTGATGTTATGAAGGCCATAATGTCCATCCATTCAAATTCAATTGGTAGTGACTGCATTAGTCGGAAAATGGTCATCCCTCTCATTGATCTCCTTTCACCTGTAATCACTTCCATCCTGAATAATTCACTGAATTCTTCTATTTTCCCTTCAGCTTGGAAAGATGCATTTGTAGTTCCTCTTCCGAAAAAGTCGAATCCGTCTAGTTTTTCTGATTATAGACCTATCTCTATCTTGCCTTTCCTTTCCAAAGTTCTTGAACGTCTTGTGCACAATCAATTAAGCATCTATCTCTTAAAACATAATCTTTTAAATCCTTTGCAATCCGGTTTCCGTCCTGGCCATAGTACGACTACTGCACTTTTACAAATCACTGATGATATTCGGTATGGTATGGAGAAACAAAAGCTTACCATTCTTACGTTACTTGATTTTAGTAATGCATTTAATACAGTAGATTTTGATATCTTGTTGGGCATCCTGCGCTTTCTTAACATATCTCCAACTGTAGTTGACTGGTTTCGAAGTTACTTGTTTGGTCGCCGACAGCGCATTCAGGTGCAAGATGTTTTTTCCACCTGGACCACTACAGCGGCTGGCGTACCACAAGGTGGCGTGTTGTCTCCTCTCCTGTTTGCAATTTTCATTAACTCTATAAGTCATAATCTGTCCTCTTCCTACCACTTGTATGCTGATGATCTCCAAATCTATACTCAATCTTCTATTGAAGATTTGTCTAAATCAGTTGACACTATTAACGCTGATCTGACTTGTATTTCGAATTGGAGTAAACGTTATGGTTTAACGATTAATCCCAAGAAAACTCAGGCAATTATCATCGGTAGTTCTAGATTAATTGGAAAAATTGACTGGTCTTCCCTACCTCCTATTTTACTAGACTGCACTCAAATCCCTTACAGTAACAAGGTTAAAAACCTGGGGTTGTATCTCGACTCTTGTATGTCTTGGACCTCACAGATTAATGAGGTTAGTAGAAAAATGTTTGCTGCTTTAAGCTCTTTACGTAGATTACGTAATTTTCTTCCCACAGTAACTAAAGTTACGCTCGCCCAGTCTCTACTTCTACCTATCCTTGACTATGCTGACATATGCTATCTTGACATTACCGAGGAGCAGCTTAATAAGCTTGAGCGCATTCAAAATTTATGTATTAGATTCATATTTGGGCTTCGCAAATATGATCACATCTCTGAATTTCGCAAACAGCTCAAATGGCTCCCGATCCGCCTTCGCAGGAATACTCACATTCTCTCCACTTTGTATAGCGTGCTGTTTAATCCTTCCACTCCTCATTATTTAAAAGACCGTTTCCAGTATCTTTCCCTTACCCATAATCGGTTCCTTCGATCCTCCGTCAATCTTTCTCTCTCTACTCCTTCGCACTCTTCCTCCTTTTTTAAGAAATCCTTTACTGTAACTGCTGTACGTTTGTGGAACTCTTTACCTCTCCACATTCGTCGTGCTCAATCTCTTCATTCTTTCAAATGTCTTGTTAAATCGTATTACTTAGAACGCTATTAGATAAATCACTTTTCCTTTTTCGTACTCTTTTCATTTAATCTATTATATTATATCATACATAATCTTCACTTGCCTTTATTTGTATGTATTTTATATTTTTTATTTTTATTTTGTACGCCCCCTCTATTTTTAACTATTGTTTACATCAGTTCTCTACACTAAGGTTGTCTGGAAGAAATCACTTTCAGAGTGATAAGACCGCCTGTTGTACATTTTCTAATTTAGATTTAATTGTATTCGTTTTTGTTTTGTTTTTGGTGTACAATAAAGAGTAAATAAATAAATAAATAAATAACGTAGTACAGCAGGCACACGCTCGACTGTGGCTGGCTTCACTCGGTCACTGTGACGTAGGCGCGGGACCCGAAGCATGTTGTCTTGCAGTACTTGCTCGAAGTGCTGAAGCTCGGCGGCCAGATGTTTTCTGTCACAGATCCCTCGTGCTCTCTGAAACAAAGATTTTCCCATGGTAGCTAACTGTGAAGGATGATGGTGAGATTCACCATTTAGATATCGGTTGGTATGGGTATTTTTTCTGTACACATAAAATATTATACAAATATTTCATCCGAAATCCTGATAACACCAATAGTGTTATCAGGATTTCGGATGACTAAAACATCTAGGAAAGCTAATGTATTGTTTGCCTCTAACTCCATTGTGAATTGTATTTTAGGGTTTATGGAATTAAGGTGGTTTAAAAATGCAAGCAAGCATTTTTAACCCGCGTTAAAGAACATATAGCTGACGTGAAGCACCGACGTATCGGGAAGTCTGCAGTTTGTGAACATGTTCAAGATCGTCCCCGCCATTACATTAGATTTGATAGACCACAAATCCTCGCAAAAGAACACCGATTCCTCCCAAGGATGATTCGCGAGGCTATTGAAATTAAAAAACATCCTAATTTCAATAGAGAAGATGGATGGGTGCTGCCATCTGCTTGGGATCCCATAATTAATAAAATCAAATCCAAACTCAAGTATACCACTGCTAGACTTCAAGATACCGTAAGCTCATTCTGCGTAAATCGGACCAAAAATTAATATTAAAAAACTGAAGGTAGCCGGGCTAACTATGACAGTAGGACGTCAAACACCTCAGTCCCCCGTGACCACGGGTGCTGGAAAACACCCGAAACGTCGGGAATATAAAAAAAATAGATTAATATACGCGATAAAATCCGTAAAATTAGTTTTAATTAAAAATGTGTAGTGTTCGCGTAAATATAAGAAATCATTATATTTCCTTTAAGTTTTTTTTTATATCATAACAATATAATAATGTTTCACTATTTGCAGCATTTGCATTTTTGTTGCGATTTTCTTTTAAATAAAGTATTCAAAATCAGCATTAGGCATACTCTTTTTTTCTTTGGTCACGGACTCGTATGGTAATACTTTTTTTGCCAGTGTCAAGTAACAAGAAATTATCCATATAAAAATGAGAATGATTAAAAATTTCTCAATAACACACATACATACATATAATCACGCCTCTTTCCCGTAGGGGTAGGCAGAGAACACTTCTTTCCACTTGCTACGATCCTTATATACTTGTTTCGCTTCGTCCACTTTCATTATTCCCTTCATACATGCTCTACGGTTTAGGGTACTCTTGACCTGGCCTTTTTTCAAGACGTCCCTGATTTGGTCTAGAAATGTCCGCCTATGTCTACCCCTTCCAACACTTTCATTCACACTCGCCTTATACACTTTTTCGTCAATCGTTCTTCATTCATTCTCTCGACATGGCCAAACCATATCAGCATACCTTTCTCAATTTTTGTCACTTCAACTTCTTTCAGACCACAACGTTTCCTTATCCCACTATTTCTTATCCTGTCACTCAGTTTAACTCCTATCATACTTCTTAACGCTCTCATCTCAACTGCATTTATTCTGATTTCATGTTTCTTCTGCAATACCCATCTTTCACTTCCGTACATGAGTGTCGGAACCAACACCCCCTCGTGCACAGCCAAACGAGCCTTGTTAGACACCTTCCGACTGCTCATAAAGGAGTGCAAAGCTCCATTCAGCATGTTTCCTGCATTCATTTTTAACAGTGGTAGAGCCACGCGGCAGCTTTTGCTGTCGCACGGATGGGCCGGCTCGAACCAGGGTGGTACCACGACCTCACAGAAAACCAGCGTGAAGTAGTGGTTTACCTCTGTGTTTCGCTTGGTGAGTGCAGGTGGCCGGAGGCCCTTTTTACTGGAAATGAGGAATTCCATCTTAGTCCTCACGGATGACAACGCATCTGCATTTTGATTCGCATGCGAGGATAGATGTAGATGTCTATGGGCCTCAGCAACCACTTACCATCAGGTGGAATGTGTGCTCGTTTGTCACCCTTATCCTATAAAAAAAACTCACTCTTCTTTCGATATCACTCTCACACTTTCCATCTCTTGTAAACTTTGAACCCAGATACACAAACTCTTTCACCTGTTCAATTTATTCATTTTCAATCACGATATAGCAGTCTGTCACTGCCTCATCTTTTTCAAACACCATCACTTTCATTCTCTTTTAAATCTGCCAAACAATTGTCCATGAACAGATTAAACAGCCACGGTGACGCTACACATCCCTGTCTAACACCATTCAGTGTATGCCCCGTTTATCCTTACACAAGCACTAGAATCCCTATAAAGGGATTGAAATGCTCGTATGAGGATATTGCTCACACCGTTCACGGACAGTGCTGACCACAATTCATTCCTCACCAAACACTTTTCGGCTATGCACCGCAAGTAAAAGACCTGATCCGTACATCCCATTCCCTTTCTAAATCCCGCTTGTGCATCCCATACTTTTTCGTCTGTTTCAGTCACAACCCTTTCAATCAACACTTTCGCATACACTTTACCGATGATGCTGAGAAGTCTTATACTGCGGTAATTTATGCAGTCCTGCCGTGACCCTTTTCCCTTATACAATGTCACGATTACGGCTTTGCACCAGTCTCCCGGTACTTGCCCATTTCGCCAGCACAGATTGAAAAGGCGGTACAGCTGACTAGCCACCAGGCCCTGTTCAGCCCTCAGAATCTCGACGGTAATCCTGTCATACCCTGCAGCCTTACCTAATCTTATACTTTTCAATGCTTTCACTATTTCATCCGTACTTATCCCATTTTCATCAACATTTATATTAGTTTCCGTGGAAGGTGGCAGATGCTGTACCTGCACTTCCTATCTTTCAAACAAACTTTCAAAATACTCTTTCCATCTCTTTTACACACATTCTTCTTCTTTTATAATGCTCCTCCTTTTATAATGCTTCTTAATAACTTGATGTTTATATCAACATCAAAGCACTTGTATCGTCGTTTCCACTAATAGTTCACATTAACAATTTTGCATTATCAATATGACACTTAATATATGAAATTGCATCACTTTTTCATATCAACATCTACTTTAAACCACTGTTTAAAAAATAAAACAGGATTAACAATCCGTCGATGGTCAAGTTCCCGCCAAAACTCCTAGCAAACTCTTAATGTAAATAATACTGTATAAGTAATCAATCAGTGTTTGCAGAAGGTATTTTTTTACATTTTACGTATCTTTTTATCAACCCACGTAACTGGTTTGGAAGAAGATGGTATAAAGAAGAGAAGTATTTATTCAATGTGTAGTGTTCGCGTAAATATAAGAAATCATTTTGGCACAATAATGTCACTTTTTAGACATGCCAACGAAACTTTCAATCAAGCTAAGCTGGCAGCACTGCTATCAATCTACAATATCCTTTAATAAAACATTATTTTATTTTAATTTAACTTTAATTTATTACCTTAATCATATGAAAATATTCATTTTCCTTTTTGGTAAAATTCGTCAGTTTTATTTTACATTCAATGTAATTACTTAACTAGTTTTCGTTATTATACAAGTAATCGGTGGAGATGGGTCAGTATGGGAAAGTCTTCAATTATAAGATAGAGTCAAAACAAAAGTCATATCACACTATAATAAGAAAAATCATGTACATGATGTGTTCACGAGCCGTAAACCAAACCCGGTCATTTTCCAAAAAAAATTGATTAACATAAATAACTGATTGAGTTAGTTTTAAGTAATAAATGTTGCAATTAAAAAAATTTTTTTTTGAAATATCTTATGGGTTCAATCTATGAAAGATATACAACCCTAACTCTAAAATCGACGAAATGGTTCCTTAAAACAAATTCCTAATAAAATAATATTGTGAAAGTTAAAAAAACAACACTTTTTAAATTTCAGTATCCGCTGTTAATATTGAAAATGTTTCTACATATCCGAAAACACATCAACTTCCTTTAAACCAAGGCGCTACTACACAAAGTTTAAAAGAAAATTTTAATCCACATCTACTTCCAATTCAATGGCAGAAAAATTACTCACAGGGCATTTATCCACAAAAACAATACTTACGTACAAATCACCAACTGCCATATCTGCCTGATCAAAATATCAAAGAACTAAATTATGAGCCAAGAAACGATGGTAGAGTCCAGAATATTCACGATCAAAATTTCAAACCACCAAACCCAATTGATTCTGAGCCACCTGTAAATGAATTCAAAATTACTCTGAATTCCCCAAGAGGTTATTATTTATCTCAAGCAGGCATCGAACATAGAATATTGGACGCTCCAATTCAGCCAAGTAATCAATACTTCAATCAGAAGGGATTGAGAAATAACGGCTTTAATACAAACAATGAAAATGTACCCAAATTTCAAGGCGTGGAGTTAAAAAGAAATCCGGATATTACTTCACCGCTGGATGATATCAGTACAAAAATAAATGGCATATCCTTAGAGCATCAACAAAGACCAATAGAGACAAATATTGAAAACTATTATCAAGTAAGAAATATTCCGTCAGCAATTAATACTGGAAACCAAAATGACAGAAATATTCAACCAATTCAGAATCACTTTTATCAAACAGGTTCTGGATTTTTAACACAAAATAAAAAACTTAATGCATTAGAAATGCCGAATAATCAACAAAAAGAATCTCGTCCAGGTAAGTGTAAGAAAGTGTATTATTGCAAGTAAACAAAGCAATGGTGTTTCGTTTTTGATTTAAACATTTATGTTTTTAAGGTTATGATACAAGAGAGAAAAACTTAAGCGCAGAAACATCAGATCATAACAAGCGTTATAAAGTAATTCACAAAAACGGAGCTGTTGAGTATTATGATGACTTGGATGTTATTTTGAAAAAATATCCACTTATTAAAATAGCAACCAACATCCTCTACTCACAAAGAACGCAAAATACGAATTTAAATAAAGTTAATAATATATCACCAGTCATTCCTATGTCAAATCCGAAAATAGCTGTGCTCCTACCAAGCCCCAAACTTAAGGATCATGCGGATAACTTTTCACAATATACTCCACAAAATAATATCCAAATACCTAAAAATGAGCAAGCTTACCAAAAACCACCAAATGCTGGAGAAGAAAAAGCTATTTTAAAAACATTAGCTAACAAAGTAGCCGAAAAACCATTTGTGTCACAATTGTCATCTTTAAAACTAAATCAAAATATTCAGGTTCAACCATCAATGTTGGAAAATAATGAAAAAAATTTGGTAACAACTAATGTGTTGGATAAAGGAAGTGAAAATAGTTATGTCTCTAGTTTGAAAACCGAACATATAACAGCACTTAATGTTAGTAATGCAGCTCAAGTATTACCACGCCGATCGGAAAATGTAGTAGAGCAACCTGTTACGCACATCTTATCTAATAATAATCATCCAGAAGTATCACTACGACAGAGTTCACCAAATATCCTATCGGAATCTAGTAAATCTAGGAATACAACTGTTATAACAAGTGACTCCAACCTAAATAGTAATATTACCAAACCAATGACAACTTCGTCGGTGTTGAATGAAAATAAAAACAAGAATATTTCTTCTATTGTACAATTGAATACAAAAACCAATTTGGAAAGGTCTCCTTTATTTAATTTTACTTCAGGTTTGAGTAAAAGTCAGGGAGAACACGATACAAATATATACAAAGAAAATATTTTTGATCAGATTAGAACAATTAATTTGACTACTCCAGAACTTTTCGATGAAAACTTGTCTATTGACGAACGAAATGTTACCGGATCAAAATCTGAATTTGTGGAAGATACGGAAAACACTAGTTCAACAGATGATTCAATAAAAAATAGCGATGATCAAGATAAAGGTTAGTAAAAACTTATGTTATATTGAACTACGGTTTTATATAATATACTTATGAAGCATTTTTTTTCTATTCCTGTCAAGCAATAAGCAACTAAACTAATATTGCAAACTTTTAACAATTAGGCAATTATTTGCTCTTATTTAGGATATAATTCTAATGGAAAAAAAATTAAAACATTCTAAGGTTATAAGAATGCTGAAATGTCGTTATATCAGTGAATAATACGCTAGTTTTCCACTATTGCCTTTTACGATACCCCATGGGGTATGATATGGGTAGTTAGCACACTTACGCCGCGCCGCTACAATACAATTTGCGATAGTCGCTATGTCACATTTACATTACGTATATGTTATTTAATCCGTTGTAAATACACATACAAATATACTACACTCATTTAGGTAAGGTCATTATTAAAACGGTATTAATCTTACAATTTGGAGATATACGTTGAGGAAATGCAGTATAATTCCTCTCTAGCTGCTACGATGTGGTTAGCAATAGAATTATGTAAAAATATTGTATAACTTATTACTTTGAACTCTAATTATTCCTTTTTTATTTCCGTCCTAAACTCTTAAGTGTATCTTTTTTTAACCCTCGACGAAAACAGAGTAGGATTATAAGTTTGTAAAGTGTATCTATGTGTCTGTCTGTGGCGTCATAGCTGCTGAACGGATGAACTAATTTCAATTAAGGTTTTTTTCTATTGAAAATTGTCGAGAGTGTTCTTAGCTATGTTTCAAAAAAATCTATTCAACTGTTTGAAGATCATCAGCTATTTTTGTTCGGGGATTTTTTTTTATTTGAATAATATCAACTGTTGTCGTTTTATTATGATAAAAAAAAGAATATTTCTTCTGCTGTACAATTAAATACAAAAACCAATTTGGAAAGGTCTCCTTTATTTAATTTTACTTCAGGTTTGAGTAAAAGTCAGGGAGAACACGATACAAATATATACAAAGAAAATATTTTTGATCAGATTAGAACAATTAATTTGACTACTCCAGAACTTTTCGATGAAAACTTGTCTATTGACGAACGAAATGTTACCGGATCAAAATCTGAATTTGTGGAAGATACGGAAAACACTAGTTCAACAGATGATTCAATAAAAAATAGCGATGATCAAGATAAAGGTTAGTAGAAACTTATGTTATATGGAACTACGGTTTTATATAATATACTTATGAAGCATATTTTTCTATTTCTGTCATAAAAGCATCTAAGTTATTTATTTGAATATTGCAAACTTTTAACAATTAGGCAATTATTTGCTCTAATTTAGGATATAATTGTAATGGAAAAAAAATTTAAAACATTCTAAGGTTATATGAGGAGTGCTGAAATGTGGTTATATCAGTGAATAATACGCTAGTTTTCCACTGTTGCCTTTTACGACACCCCATGGGATGATATATATATTTTTGTTCGGGGGATTTTTTTTTATTTAAATAACATCAACTGTTGTCGTTTTATTAAGATAAAAGTGATTTTATATTATGTGTAACTAAATTCACCACACCCTTTAACCCCCAACTCAATACGTAATGACCAACAACAGGTGATTACGTATTTAGTTGTTCGAGACATAAGGCAGTAGTATTGTATCTATTGGTTATATATTTTTGTACAGATTATTTGTCTCTTAGTAAGCCCGAAGTTTGGCTTAGAACAACTGATCCTGACTTTTGGAAAAATTTAATAGACGACAATGATGCTTACAGTTTTGTATATATTTTTGATGTTCAATCGCAATCTAGGATTGAAAAGGACACGAAAACAACTATATACCCTAATGGCACTGTTATTGAAGAAATAACTGAAACTACTTGGGAAAATGGAGACGGTGAGTAAGAGCTTAATTTTTAGTTTTGAACGTAAATATAGAACTATCGATCTTTTACTCAGAGTTTAAAGCCACGAAGTGATTTAAATTTCATCTGCTGTCTCTATTTAGGGCACAAAAGTTTTGGATGCGTTGTTGTTATTATCTTTTAGACACGCAAGCGTTCTGTTCGTTCGTTCATGCTCTTGTTTATAGTGTTAATTTTGCCATCAATTATTTTATTTTTATTTTTAGTTTAACAGAACCATTTTCTTTTATTGATCTTTTATGTGATGTTAATGAAATCACATAACTCTTTAATTAACTTTTAAATAATTTATTGCTTTTATTCAATTTACAGGTGATCAACCGAAAATTTTTAAAACTGTTAAAGTCACTCTTCCCGATGACGAGAAAAAGGACAAGAATAATACATCGCAATGATTTTCTAAATTTAATATGGTCATCTATTTAGGTCTATATTTAGGTCTTAACTTAACATGGTAACTTATGATATTAAAATTTATTTTTAAAACAAGCAATTTTTTTCGAATTGATTACTTAACTACTTTACTTTACTTAAACTACTTTAGTTTTAATACTTCTTACTGATTTATTACAGCAACATTTAATTAAATGCGATCTGGTTGTTTATGCAGTGTTTTTATTTTTTTTATTCCTCAAAAAGGTTTATTTTTTTATCTTCATTTAGGTTTTGAGACGAACATTAATGATATATCGTAACATTCATGTTACACCTATGCCGGTAGTCGTAGGTAACAATCATAGATATAATAATAGAAGGAGATATGCCCGGTAGTTGAAAATGTATCGGAACCCAGTGTCTCCAGTTGGCCCCTACCACCCGCCTACTACTACACTTGCAGATCAGTAAAAGCAATATATACGCAGTCGCGCACGCACTCGCATTTTATAAATCAGAACGTACTACACAATCAATTATAAACCGTATCCCTACAAGTACAGCGTGCATCTACTATGCACCGTACTACTTACTCACACAAAAATATCGGGCGCTATCGTTGTACTGCGCAAAAGTTATTTTTTACATATACATTAGTGATTGACTAAATGGGAAAGTTATCGATTCTCTTCCATTTATACTAAAATTGCACTAAAATTTAAAATAAAATAAATAAAAAACGATATGCACAGGAAATTATATAATATAAATAAACAATATGTAGCTAAACATAAATTATTAAGTACCTAACCTACCTAACAAATACAATAAAAAAATCCGGTTATGTTGGTTAGGATTGTCATAGCGTATTGAAAAAGTAGGTATTTGGCATATGGTACTAGTTTATGTAGGGAACCAGTTTGGTGGCCTTCCTGTGGCATCAATTCATTTCTTGTTTTTAGGAATTCCATGATCTACAAAGATTTCGTTTTAGCTTCGGTTTTAACAAGAAACCACTGAATAACACGGCATTCTGATATTGTTTCACGATTACGGTTGAAAGTATACTAATACGTAGAGACGGCCGTTTGAATAGAACCTGAGCATTTTGATCATAGCGTGCGGACACAGACACGCCCCCTTGCCACTTCTCCTCTATTTAATATTTCTATGGTTGACTAATAGAATAGTCCGCCTAGGTAAATTCAACTTTCAACAGGTTCAGAAGATTATGACATATCTCCTCGTCACGTATGCCTAGTGTTATATATATTTGTGAGTAGTGCTAGCTGCCAGTGAAGACATACAGATCAAAAAGATGATATGCGCAGTGCAACCCACTGGTTTCTGGCTTAACCGATATAGCGCAACGGATCATTAAGCTTAACTGGCATTATTAGTGTTAGGCCAACCATAAAGTTCAACTAAACGACAAATGATGGGGAAAATAGGTTCAAGAGCGGCAGTTTTGTACCAGTAAGCGAAGCGTACCCCTCACAACATGTAGTGACAATATCTAACAATGCAAGAAGTCGATGAATTCAGGTGGCCAGTGATGTGAATTTAAAAATAAAGGAATGTTACCGGCCAAGCACAATTTAGGTACAAGTAAAGTTGGATTTCATTGTGTAGTTTATCTCTAATGTAGTAAAAATAAGAGAAAAGGGGGTGGGGAGGGAGGGGGGGGTGTTACAATGGCCTACAAAATGCTATAGTTTGAAGTATAGTACATATTTCAAAAAAGTAACTTCGTGCACGTTTCTTATTGTCAAATCGTTTGACGTGAATGTATTTTCGCTGAACAGTAATTAAGCTAATGTCACTTTTTTATAGGATAGGGTGACGAACGAGCACATAGTCCACCTGATGGTAAGTGAAGTAAGGAATAAAAATGCAGATGCGTCGTCACCCGTGAGGACTAAGATGGAATGCCTCGTTTCCAGTAAAAAGGGTCTCCGGATCTCTACATTCACCATACGAAACACAGCAGTTTTAAGCTGCTATTTTACGCTGGTATTCTGTGAGAGCGTGGTTCTTCCCCGGTCGAGCCGACCCATTCGTGCTACAAATATACCAATAGTATACCACGTATGTCATGTTCGTTAAACTCTTTTTGAGTATCGTGAAACCTAGCAATTTTGCGATTTTTGGAAGTACTTAAAAGTTTAGGACTAATTTTCCTACACAAAAGGTACTGTCGTCATACTAGGCTTTAATGTTAAAAGTGACACTATATTCTCCATATGTTTGGTATTTATTGGTAATTTAAATAAATACTAAGATTAAATAGACAAAATAGCCAAAAATAAAAATGGCTAAGCTAACCTCAATTTGTGGTAACTACGCAATCAGGGTTTATAATGATAATTTAAAATTAAAAATTTTGTACAGCCGACTTCAATACAAGTTATTAAGAATAACTCAAAAACTATTGGTCTGACCTTGATCAAATTCATATAGGACCATACGAGAAGTACCAGCTTTCAAATAAAAAAAGAATCATCCAAATCGGTTCACCCAGTAAAAAGTTATGAGGTAACACACATGAAAAAAAAACATACAGTCGAATTGAGTACCGTCTCCTTTTTGGAAGTCGGCAGAAAATAATAGGATATGACTTCAAGGTTGAAGGTAAGTTTACCTCATAATATAATACACAACACTGAGAGCTATGATTTGCTTCTTTAATTGTGTTGCAAACAGCAAAGTTTACGTTAGTGGCAATGCCCCCCTCCCCCCATTTTTCAATTTTTCATACAAACTTGAAAATCAGAAGTACTTTACTTAATTTTTTTATTTAAATCTTATGACAATAATTTCTTAAGCAAAAATCTAAAATATGGGTGTATAAAAAAACTCTTCTTTAAAATAGAAAATCAAATTGGTGAAATAATATATAGTATAGATAAAAAAAAAAACTTGTCACAATAATGTTTAACAAGTATTCGTTTTTTTTAATGGTTATCATCATCATTTTATTACGATCAAGTAAAAAAGTAATTGTAATTAATCTAAATATTGTTTTTCTACAATAGCAAAACATTTATAATCATTAAAAATGACACTGTTTTTGGATGCAAATTAATATCAACACACTATGTTGAAATTATGAAAAATACTGAGTAGGAATCAAATTATTAATGCCAGACTACACTGTAAAAATAATATAGATTTCTCTTTTCTTTTCCTTTACTTTTGATAAAGATGAATCGGTTAACAATTTATTTAGTAAAAAAAATTAGTCTAAAGGGCTGCTACGGAGAAATATCGATACAAACATGCATACATAGAATGTCAAGTACAGAACCCTTTTTTGTAGTTGGATTGTAGCAAAACATGATAAAGTAACCGGCACATTGTGGCATCACTAGTATGGTAAGTAACATTACGTTAGTTAGTTTTATACATAAATGTTAAGACCAACATGTTAAAAACGATATATATAATTTCCTAACAATTAATATTACGTAACTACAAAGATATAGATACCTACATTCAGTACTTGAAAGAAAATCAACAAAAGTTCTGGAGCACTGAACAAAGAGGTTACTTCGCCGACACAATTGCGCGTAAAAATAAAATGCCAAAATTAACACTCATGTTGCCATTGAAAAAATTATGCTGTCTATTAGTTATTGTATTTTAATCCAAAATGGCATATATAGAAAAACGTTACGTTTTCCGTGTTAATCGTAATTTTAAACAAGTACACCCCTAATGGCAAAGTAAACTTCCATTGGTAAAGTTGCCAAACTTGACTGTACTGTCTGTACCTTGCAATTATGATACTGTTGTTTATCTATAAACTTTTCCACGGTCTGTAAGCTTTTATTATTAACTAGCTGTTCCCGGCGACTTCACCCGCGTGTAATTTTGGGTTTTAATTATGTTGCGCGGCACCCTAATTTTTTTTCTTTTTTTTTCTAAAATATAAGTAGCTTAAGTTACTCCTTATAACATTAGCTATCTGCCTGTGAAAGTACTGTCGAAATCGGTTCAGTCGGCCAACAAACAGACAGACAGACTGACAACAATTTTAAAAATTGTGTTTTTGTTATAAGTACCGTATATACTTTCATATGCATTCAGTAAAAAGCTGTTAATATTACAAACAGACACTTCAATTTTATTTATTTGTATAAATGATGAATTAGTTGTTTGTACCTTCAAATGCACAATATTCCATAAGCTGATAAAAGCTGATAATGCAATATATAATATAGGTCACGGCGAAGCTTAGTGATCAGAGAATATGCCTGATACGCTGCAGGTCTTGATTTCGGATCCTAACCAAAGTTATAGTAAAGCTACATCCTATATACATACGCACCGCTTTTCTTTTGAAAGATTTATTTTGAGATTTGAGTAGTTAACATTTTTGCAAGTAAAAAAATTGTTGGTTATGGGGTCTTTATGCTTTTTTTTTTCAATAAAAGCCAATACAGCAATAAAGAATTTACCTCCATCCAAGGAAACAATGGGATATTAACTAAATACAATTGAAAAGTGGTGTATTAAAAATTTGTTTAAACTCAACACAATAATTTGGGGTATTCCCAGTAGTCTTAATAATTTGCATTGGAAACATCAGCGTTTTATAAAGAATTTTACGCATGTTGCTCATGAAAATACGTGGTAGAACCATACTACATATTTATTATGGTTGTAGCACGAATGGGTCGGCTCGACCGGGGAAGGGCCACGCTCTCACAGAAAACCAGCGTAAAATAGCAGCTTAACGCTGCTATGTTTCGTATGGTGAGTGTAGAGAACCGGAGACCCTTTTTACTGGCAAAGAGGCATTCCATCTTAGTCCTCACGAGTGACAACGCATCCGCATTTTGATTTGTAATCGGAGATAGATAGAGATGTCTATGGGCCACAGCAACCACTTACCATCAGGTGGACTGTGTGCTCGTTTGTCACCCGATCCTATAAAAAAAAATCATTCATAACCTTCAAAAAAGTAAAAATACATAATGACTATTGTGGTACATAATATTTTGTTTGATGAACATTT